AATTGTCCATTTTCAGACATAGAAAGTGTAATAGAGCTTCAAGTAAAAAACGGGTTGGACATGGGAACCGGACTTCATTCTTGACATAGTGCAAGTAAGATAGTAGAGCATATCGCGCAAGAAACTAAAAAAGAATTGTTTATATCAATTATTAAGAATAATTTAAAAATTTGTACTGTTATTGATGAAGCTTCCACCATTTCCAGTAAATCAACGCTTATAGTTTTCATCAAAGTAGAATCTTCTACAGTAGCATCTTCTGAAATATCCCCAATAATATTCAAAGATATTGTGAAACTTGACGCACAAGATGCAAATACTATTTTTCAAAGTTTGTTGGATGTATTACTTGCTGTTGGATTTGATACAAATTATTTAAAACTGAATTTAATAGGATTCTGTTCTGATGGTGCTAGAGTAATGCTCGGTTGTAAATCTGGAGTCAGTGTACAAATAAAAGAGATGTTTCCAAATGTTATTATTTGGCACTGTCTCAATCACCGCCTACAACTTGTTTTAGATGATTCCATAAAAGATATCAAACAGGTTAATCATTTTAAAGTTTTCATGGACAAAATATATTGTATTTTTCATCAATCTAATAAAAACCAAAAAGAACTGAATGATATTTCCCAGGAGCTTAGTTTGGATATAACTAAGATTCGAAGAGTGTTAGGACCAAGATGGGCTGCGTACAGCCTAAGATCTGCACTTGCTGTATGGCAGAACTACCCTGCTTTGTATCATTGTTCTCTTTTAACCAAAAAATGTCTGGAATGGCAAAACGACTACAAAACAAATGTTTTCTAGTAGATTTAGCTCTAATGATTGACATCCTACAGGAGTGCTCTCTACTATCTAATGCCCTTCAAGCTAGAAATATAAATGTTGCCAGGGGAGATCAACTGATTAGAACAACAACTAACGCTTTTCAAATGCTCAAAGATAGTTGCGGTCATTACGAAAAAAAAGTGGATGAAGTTATAAACTCTGAAGCATTCAAAAACATTATCTTCGTCGAAAACAGAATTTATGGAAATCTTCCCAGAGATTCTCTTATTGACAGCACCATAAAAAATATGAAATTAAAATTGATGGATTGTTCTCATCTCGGATCAAATAGTAACAAAAAAATATTGATAATAGTATTATTTATGAACTAGCCAATTTGCTAGAGCCGAGCACATGGAAAATTGAAGATATTGTAGTTCCGTGGATAGAGGCCGAAAATAATTTTGATAAATTCCAAAAAAAATTTTAATTTTGATATCGATAAGAATGATTTCCTTGATTATGTAAAAAATGCAATAAACAATGGCCATCAACAAATTAGTAAAATTGCAGAAAACATTCAAAAATAAAAAAATATGGTTAACACGGTTGCCGTTAGCAGTGCTGAAGCAGAACGAGGATTTTCATAGATGAACATCATAATTACTGATATAAGAGCCAGATTAACAGTGCAGACAGTATCAAATTTGATGACATTAAACTTAGTTGGTCGTCCATTGGACGTTTATAAGATAGACATTCCATTTAAATTCAGCATCGAGATCATAAGCAGAAATATTGTTTAGATCATAACAGAAAAATGCATCCGATATATTAAATATATTTTTAATGGACTAAAATAAAAATTGGAACGCAGTTCCCTATGTAAAAACCTGGTTGAGGAACCATAACTCGGCAGAGGATATAAGGGTTAAAAAATCTAAACCGAAAGAATATACTGAAAATCAATTAGCTAATTAAACAATATAATTACTTTATAACAAAAATATTTACTAATATATGAAATTTCACAATTTTTTGTTATGTTCAGTTTCTTTTTCTCTTTAAATGAATGAATAAAATAAAAGTGATTTTCACCTCGTTGAATTATTTTTTTATTCTCTTTTATCCTATTACATTATTGTTGCAAAGAATATGAACGATAATTAAATATTCTTGACTTAGTCTGCCACACTGACAACCATAATATTTTGATGGAAATATTAATATTAAAAAAATAAAAAAAATTGTAAGAAAATATCACTGCGAAGCGGTTGATAAATTTTGGGAAAGCATCCCTGTATATATATATATATATATATATATATATATATATATATATATATATATATATATATATATATATATATATATATATATATATATATATATATATATATATATATATATATATATATATGTATATATATATATATATATATACATATATATATATATATATATATATATATATATATATATATATATATATATATATATATATATTTATATATGTTTTAACTTTTGACTTTTCTTTTTGTTAATTTTTATTTTAAGACTTGTTTTCTTTTTTTTTTTTATCTTTTTTTAATACATTTACCTCCAACAGCCCAATGAGTTAAAGTCAAGGAAAATTTAAACAATTACTCTTAAACAGCACTTCCATTAATTCATTTAATATTTATATAAATTTTAATCGATTAAATTAACAAAATGATAAAAAACATACTTGTAATGTTTGAAGAAAGCTTGTTTGATTCATTGTATCCATTAAAGTTTATAAGATAGACATTCCATTTAAATTCAGCATCAAGATCATAAGCAGAAATATTGTTTAGATCATAACAGAAAAATGCATCCGATATATTAAATATATTTTTAATGGACTAAAATAAAAAATAAAAAAGTAATGAAAAAATTAGTTATTCCATAACCTTTATATTCCATAACAGAAACTATATATAAATTCTTTATATTATGGAGAAAGTATATAGTACGTATATAGTACTTATACTGCAAAGTACTTATATTACAAATTACTACAAAGTATGTAGTACATATATCTATACTGCAAACAAAAGTCATCATGATCATGACAAGCGCTTTTGCACGTGTGCAGTTTTCCGCTTGCTCACATGTTTGCCAATACTACGGCTAACGCTTTTTTAGGCGCTTGCCAAAAAATTTCAAGAGTGTTTTTAAATTGCAACAAATTTTTTTTCTAAACCAAATTCTAATAAAAGAAGTACAAAAAACAAATATTTTTTAAAATTGTGCAAATAATAATTATTATCAGGCCCACACTTTTTCGATCGCTGGCAGTTAATTTCAAACCGAGAAGACTGGACTTCAAACTAAAACAACCCTCCAGAGCTACACTGAACACATTAATTTTGGGTTTGGGTTCAAGCAGGTAATATCTATGTATGAAGGCTAGTTTTTACAGATTATACACACACACACACACACACAGATATATATATATATATATATATATATATATATATATATATATATATATATATATATATATATATATATATATATATATATATATATATATATATATATATATATATATATATATTCAGATAAAGATATAAATAAATTATCATTAAGATGACCTAGTTCCAAGCTAGGTCCTCTCATTGTTAATTTGGAAGATTAAAGTATGAATATTTTTTGTTAAAGGGTTTTTTAGTACTATGAAGTATCTTTTCATATGAAAATTTTTTTATGTAATCAAACTGTAGTTAATTGTTCTTTAAAGTTTTATGATTTCTAAATTTAACATTTTTGTATTTTGATGTTTGTTTGTTTTTGTTTTATTTTTTAAACATCTTCGTTTCCAACAAGGCTGCAAGCAACCACTAATTAGAGTTAGAAGTTACTGGAAGAGAAAAGATGAAGATTGAAGAGCAAGATAACGATTGACAGATGACTTAAAAGATTGCAAATAATATGAATCAGAAAAGCAAGATGAAGGAATGGAATTCAAACCAACTGATGCTCACGTAAAAAAACTAGACAAAAAAGAGTTTTTCGAGCACTTAGGAACAATAACAGAAAGATGATGAGACTTAATTGAATGACAAGTAACACGATAGTGAATTTTAGTAGATGGCACAAGAGACGCTAGCACTTTAGAGTAGTGCCCATTAAAGCATGTGTAGAAAAGAGAAAGAGAAGCAACATTACAACGATGTGACAAAGGTTCAAGGTTGGCTGCAAGAGCAGGTCCAACTATGTTTACAATGCATTTTTACACCTTGTCTAAAAGAGAAAAGACATCATTAGAAAATCCGCCCCAGATATGGCACCAGTATTCCATACAAGGCCGGATTTGAGACTTATAGAGATAGAAAAAAGAATCCAGAGTAAGAAAGTGTCGAGCTCGATAAAGAGATGCAACTTTAGCTGATGCTAATTTTGCAATCGATTTGATATAAGGTTTTCAAGAAAGATCAGAAGTAAGACTCAATCTATATAATAAATATAGGAAGGTCTAATTTATTGCGATAAGGATTAGCTGAAAAAAGTTGAACTTAGTGAGTCCCATGCTGTAGCCCCATGCTGTAGCAGAAGTGAGATCCTTTTCAAGCTCTAATGCCCCCTGCAAGCAATCAGAGGGAGTTGGCTTCTTATTGTGACAAGAATAAATGGTAATCAGCAAACAATCCCACCTTAAATGTGAGAATATCTGAAAGATCGGTAATGTAAATTAAAAAGAGTATAGGGCCAAGGATTGAACTTTGAAGAACCCTGAGGTTACAGAATAAGAAGAAGAGTGCTGCCCAAGGACAACTTTTATACTACGAATGGAGAGAAAGGATTCAATAATCTTAAAGATATTTCCAGATACACCGTAAGAAAAAAGCTTATGGAGAAGACCAGCATGCCAAACTTTATCAAACGCTTTAGTAATGTCAAGAGCAATGGTCTTAACCTCTCCACCTTTATCTAATGCACGATAAATCCTATTGGCTATTACTGTTAACAAATCAGCCGTAGAACAAGAAGATCAAAATCCATATTGATGATCAGAAAGTAAGTAATTAGATTCAAGATGAGAGATTAAGTGTTTGTTATTTAAAGATTCAAAAACCTTGCTTATAATAGGAAGAAGACTAATGGAACCGTTGTTAGATGAATCAGATCACTCTCCAGAATTTTTTAAAATAGGGATAACAAATGATGCTTTCCAGCATGCTGGAAAACAAGACTCTAAT